AAATTCACGTTCAACCAAACAAGATTATGAATATGAATTTGTTTTAGATCCGTAACATGCATCAAAACTAATCCATGAACCAAATAGCCCCTTAGTGCAATGTGGTACTTTAGACAACCACTCTGAAAATTTTAGAATCTTTATCGATTCATGTCCATCCCAAGTAAAGCAGGGAGTGTAGATTCCTTCACTTTAAACCCCAAAAAATGCAGTATCAATCTCGGTGGTGTAGCCCCCTTTCAAGTTGAAGGAATCTAGTGGTGGTCCCCATATCTATTTATCTAAATGGAATCTCGATTTACTTCCATCTACAAGATTCCATACAATGGCACACTGGAAATATGAGAAGAAACTTCTAGATTTTAACTGTTCAAGTTTAAACATGCCTTAGGAAAGGTAACTTCAGGATTTTTTTCGGTCGGAGAGGCTTTAAGATGACATAAGAGTAACCCACGTTCAGATCTCATCAGACACGTCTTTAAGGCGGAGCTCTGCCTGCATGTGCATGTTAGACTACAAAATTAGCTCTCAACTCTCGCGACAACTTCAGGAGTTAATTTCGGTCTAACCAAAGGTCCCATGAGATTTTGATTTGGCGTGCTACCACAGTAAAAACATCAGGGACCATCTATTTGAGTAATCTCGGTGCAAAGGGTAAGATGCGCATTCTCAAGGAGGAGGAAGAAAGTACCAGGGATCTTTGCATTGGTAAGTGAAGGGACACATGATACCAGATGACCAAACAATGAGAATCCATCAACCTCACCGTCAAATATAGTAGATATTTATTTTATTGCCATGATGAGATATGGCGCAATTATTGTGGAGAAAGGGGAACAGGAATAGAATTTCACGGTACGAACACTTTGGAAAGGCCTAGCTAGCTACTCCTGTTCACCATGTGTTTGTGCAACCGGAGCTTTCAGATTGTCAAAGAGCCATCATCAGCCAAAAATCTTGATAAGGGATAAGATATGCAAATCTTGAGATACCGTCTCGCATCTTTTTCCTACTTCTCGGCCGCAGCTCTTGCGTTCCTTGGCGACTGGCAAACCTGTATATATAAAGAGGGCTAGGTGATTTTTAATCGAGGGCGAGGGGGGACGGAGCTCTGATAACTACGTTAACAGACGATGCAAACCAGTACGTATATCAAAGATCTTAAATTACATATTATTAACAGAAGTTCCAAAATCGTATCGAGCAGTACAAGCGTGAGAAATATTGCGAGACGTTGTAGTATTTTTTTTAAAAAAAATACACACATGAAGTTTGAATTTATTAGCGTAGCGAGGTGAGACTAAACTGTAATGAAATTAAAAAAAAAATTAACAAAGAAATATCAGAGGTCAGAAGCTAGCAGAGATCAGCAACAACCTGGAAAACCTTCTTTTAAAATTATAAATATCTGGAAATTAAGGTTTCAAAACCAAAGGAACAACATAAGAACACTGAGAAAATTTAAAAAAAAAAATAAGGGTGTGGGAAAGCATTGCTTCGGGCAAACTAGCCGTTGAGGCTCGAGAGACTAGTGTTTCGGCTTAAACTTTCAAGGCCCAATAACTTGCGCTGTCACTTACAAATTAAAGTTTTTACCATATATATAGAACAATATGCTCCAATCTACAAAGAAATGTGCACACTTCATTATTCGAATAAATTAGAAAAATCTTCAGAGTCTTTTGATTTTTCACATACTACAAATGTGCTCCAATCTGCAACGAAAATACCATTTCAGTTCATGTATTCAACACTAATTCCGTCAACTGTGGTATTGATGTCACCCAAACGCTCTCATCTCCATCTGCATCTAAATCTTCCAACAAAATATTTCCGATATCCCAAGCTTAACCCTGTCTTTCACCGTCAATTTTTGATCTTCCCCCTTTTCGCCATGATGGATTTTCACAAAGCTCCTCACAAACTCTCTCGATATCGGATTCATGACCGTCTCATCGACAGCATTAACGAAGACGTTGAACTTGACACGCATGCATATCTTTCTTGACAGCATCCCAATTTTTTATTTTTTATTTTTTTTACTACCCAAGGCTTTTGGACATTTCAAAATTGAGAAATCTCTACAGCAGTAGGTGCTATCAAAGAACAATTGGCAGATTTGGATTTACAATTATTCTAGATAATTCATTGGTAGAACGCAAGGAATTAGGAGACGAGGAGCACGTTGGAAATTAATGGGCAGAGAGAAGAATTTGCATGACCTTTTGGTTAGACGCAAGGAATCAGCTAAACAATTTATTCGAACAAATGAAGAACCAGAATAGATGGTTTTGTGCCTATTATCAGTCCTTCCTCGTGAGTTGAGACCAATCATTCAGATAGATGAGTTTAAATATTAATGAACTCTGTTGATGTAAGTTATCAAACATGGGGTTATTTGAGAGTTTGTGGAGTAATTAATGTCCTCTAACTCCTTCTAAGCTCACTGATCTTCCCTGCACATGAAGGAACTCATAAGAAGGCAGAGTTGGGTTCTTCGGTTGTTTCTCCGACGATCAAATCAGTAGGTGATCTTGAGTGTGGAAGTATAGAGTTAGTTCTTAATTACGTCAAAAAGGCCATATAGAGTTACCTCATGCAGTGCCGCTCCTTTTATAGTGGGTTTAAGGGGCAAGAAAGTAACTTAGGCTAAGTCCAGCTATGTAGCTAAGTCGGCAGACATGTGTCATGTGTTGGTTGCTGAAAGAGGTGAGTCACCTGATTATTTATTACGGGAATGATAGCAAATGCTTGGTGCTGATTGAGTCCGATGAGTCATAAAGAGTATTGCGACTAGAGTAATTATGTTAGGAAAATGATTTAAGGACCCAAAATATGGGACCAAGAGAGGGGACAGGTGATGTGTCCCCTCCCTATTGCATAATAAGTTGGCCATGCCAACTCATTATGCAATAAGGAGGGAACACCTCACCTGTTCCCCCCCCTAGTCCCATATTTTGGGTCCCCGTAGCAGCGCTCATTATGTTATTCTCAGCCCTAGAACTGACGAGTCAAAGGACAACAGTTCTCTTTGGGGGTGTTTGGTTGCATTCTATAAATTATAGGAAATGTTTTCCATCCAAATTTTGATTTCCTTATATTTCTTAAAAAAATTATAGGAAAAGTTTTGAGAAGTTAAAAAGTACAAATTTTCTTATTTTTTGTATTGTGCTTGTTTGGTTCAAAACAAGAAAATTACTCATAACTTTTGGGAAAAGAGCAACATTTCCTATAATTTATAGAAATGTAACCAAACACCCCCAACTTTATAGAAAAGTGAGAACTTTATAGAAGTGTTAATGAGTTTTATTATTTAAATAATGAATGCGTCAGATTTCCAAGAGATTTCCGCTCATTTTAGAAGGAAATCAATTTCTATAAATTTTGGTACTTTTCTATACTTTACAGAAAACATTTCTGTAAATCTTTTTTGAGCCAAACATAGTTTGTGGAAATCTATAGAAAACTCTTAATTACAAAAATGTCATTGTTTGTACTTTTTGAGAAAACATTTCTCAAAAACAATGCAACCAAACACCCCCTTTATCACACTTTTACGTTCCTATATAAATATATAATAATATGCTTAGCGACTTTGTATCACAAACACATTTCATCAAATTTTAACCTTCAACGTACTCGGGATCTTTATGTGACATGACAAAATCCATTAAACGCACAAATCTGAAAAAGTGAAAAGATTATAATTAGGATAAATTACACTAAACCCCAGGAACTTTCAGCATTTTCCAATAAACCCCCAATAACATTTAAAATCGCACTAAGCCCCCAGTAACTTTGCATTTTGCGGATAACCTGCAATAAATTTCTGTGTTTTGTAGATAACCATCATAAATTAGAACCCAATAACAACATGAAAAAGACATTTTTAAGATATTACAGTTTTTTGGCAAAAGTTATTTGGTTTTTTGTTTTTAGTATTTTCCTTTTTTTTTCCCTTAGAAAACTTTTTTAGTTTCTTCATTAATAAATGTACGGGTAAATTACACCAAAACCCCAATAACTTTAAAAATCCGACTAACTACCCCGCCCCCACCCCCACCCCCCCCACCCCACCCCCCAAAAAAAAAAAAAAACAACAGAGTCCAGAGAAATATATGAAACTTGTGTTATTGTGTTGTTGCTACTTATTTCCACCTGAATCTTGAAATCCAAATACAACCCCTAATGGATTCAGATAAAACCAGACCGAAATACAATCAATAACAGCCCATGGAATGTTCCCTCTGGCTGCAACAACACCCCCCCCCCCCCCCCTTGCCCTGGATACTAGGATAACCCATCAAGTAAATACACATCCACTTGTCAGCATGCATGTCATCCTAGAATGCAAAGTTCTGTGAATTTGAGGATAAAAATCTCACATGCAAGCCTAACACAAACAAATACGCCTAAAACGAATATATAGCTCAAGTGGATAAGAATAAACTGAGAGAAGTCATCTACAATTGGAAGAAGAAAAAAAAGGAGAAGCATAGTTTCTTGTTTGAGAGAAGAGAAAAAAGATCATGGGGTCTCTAATGGGAGGGTGGGACTACAATATTAAGGATCCTAAGAAAGGCAATGTGACTATGTTCTTATATTATGCCATTTCTGAGAGTTGGGAGTTGATCTAACTAGCATGTATTTTGTTTTCAGTGGTATATCAGAGGAACAAGTCACTGACAAATGAAGAGATTGCCGCATACTGGAGATCAGTGAAGAAAACAGAGGAGAATAATGAAAACCAGGTTTTTGTTTGTTAGTTTGTTTGCTTTTTCTTTTTTGGTGGCGGAGGGGGGGTTGAATTTTTGAAAAATTTAGATTCATTGAGAAAATATAACAATTGAGGGTTGTTTTGTTTGTGGCAGAAGAACATGCATAAGGGCTCAGTGCAAAGGTTTACTAAATCAAAGACAATGCCTTCGACTGACAGAAGAGAGAACAATGAACAAAAGAAGGACGATGAGAAATTAAGCAACATAAACTGTTTGTATAATTCTTATCTTGCAACCTCTGTTTCCATCTAATTTTAGCAAGTGTTATAAGGCACCTTCAGAATTAAACCTTCAGATTATCTTCTCTAAAGAATCAGTCTCTATTTATTTAAGACGAGTCGGAATTTATTTATTATATTTATTTCTCTTTGTTAAATGTAGAACTGATAAAAACCTTACTCTTTTGATGATTGCTCTATCTCTTATTAAGATATGTGAGTTGGTGTTTAGTGATTTTATTGTACTTCTCATAATCTAAGGCAACAAAAATCAGCATCAAACACTTGACATATTACAGAAAAAAGAAGCGGATATTATATTATTTTTCAACATTAAATTCTTTCTTCTATTATAAGAGATGATGTTTACATTAAATGTTCAAATTTCTTTCTCTATGTAATGGATGATCGGATTTAAGCACTCACTACAACAAAAGTTGCACCTTATGATACATTTTTAGTCACCCAGCAACACATTTTTATGTCGCACAAATAGAGCGCAACACAAGTCAAAAATGTAGGTAGAACATGTCTGGAGAATGTCTTTCTACACATATAAGAATGTGTCGCAAAACTTGAAATATATGTGTCACAAAACTCACGACGTATGCAGGTGTCGAGAGTTGCAACACATATTTGTGTAGGGACCATAAAAAATATAGTTGATATCACAATACAACACTAACTTCCTAGAATGTCATCCGTCCTAAGATTGCTCTCAGCAAGTGTGCTTTACTATAGAGTTGTTTAGCTAATTTATCGTCATAAATGTTTAATCATTATTATACTTAAATCCCAAGACCTTACCCAACCGATGTGGGAGTATTAAGTGTTTAGCAATTTTATTTTATTTTATATCTAATGACACAACTAAGTGTTGCAGCTTGCAGCATATGTCATTGTCGTTTTAATCCTTTGCAATTAATATGACACTTCTATATGTGTTGTGAGAGTAATGTGGACACATGCAACTTTTGTTGTAATGGTACAAAACATATAAAGAAAAGTTTGTTAAAAATAAAGAAAAGTTTGTTAAAAAAACATAGAATATTGAAGGTTTGAATGAGGTATACCAGAGTGGGATATATGGACAAAGCTCTTCAAGCCAATCATATAAAGAAAAGTTTGTTAAAAATAAACAATTTAGCGGTACAAAACATTTGAACAAATTAACACTTACAAAACTTTAAACATAAAGATTTGGTGATATCATGCATCCTTTTGGCTCATAACTCCAAAAATGGGATACAATTTTGGAGTTAATCATGCTATATTTGATGTTATTGATATGAGTATTATCTTTTACACAGGTAAGTGATAACCCAGACTAAATTATAATTATGAAACAAAAATTACTATTAGCCGTGACTTCTTATGATTTACTCTATAGGTGGACCAGAAGCAACTGGGCATTTCTAAATGAACCCCCAGTAATAGCCATTGAAGGTCCTCAGAAGTATGCTGCACAGTTTCATGTTGGCAGCTCGAGAAGCAATGATTCCTGAATCCAGAAAGGATTATGATCAAAAGTTGGTACTCGGTATATGAAGTCTGGATTCTGTAAATAGTCTACTGTTTTATTCGGTTTTTTGTCAATGAATGTGCGACAAAGTGATGTTTTTGTTATCTCGTTTTCATGAGTGTAATATATAGGTATTTATCAAGTTTAACCGTTTATAGTATTGTCAACATCTGGTTCTTTTCAAATAACTTATGGTATAATACAACACTATTTTGTCAAATTATCCAATATCGGTGACCAAAATTAAAATGAAACTCGGGTTTTATTAGTACGTTCAAATATGTAAAAAGGATGTCATGGATATCTGGGAGAATGTTAGTTGCATACCTGCTGGCTGATGCGAATACAGCTCCTTTTTTTGCACCTGGAGTGTGCCGTGATAACACTCCGCGTGAAGTTGTTTCTGTTTTTGCTTCGTCAAACTTGAAGCTTTCTGAATCCTAGAACTTATCACCATCTGCATGATTCCAGTATTTCAAAATGATCAGGAAAGTTTTTGCAAGTTGATGGTAGTGAAGAAATATAGATTAACTGACCTGTAGCGTTCCTCTTCTTTTTTTTCCCCATAGGACCTATAGCGCTCTTCTCTAATTGACTGCATTCCTTTCAGTAATCAGATAAAAATCCTCATGTATTTTATGGGATAAAAAAAATCCACAATACTTCAAGAAATATGAGGCGTATACCTCTGACCGCATGAGTTCATATTGATGAATGATACATATGAATGATACAATTGATGTGATGGTAAAAAAGATTCCAGCATACTACACGAAACTTGGAATATAACTAGCATTGCTAACACCAAAATTAATACTTTTGTCTCCACAGAAAAGATTGAAAGAAATAATGCAGGCTATTAGCCTATTAACTCTTCTAAATGAAAGAATTAGCTCCTCTAACCATTAGATGACCATACAACACAGAAATTCTGGAACAACTACCATAATCAGCAGTTGTAAAAATCAAGGCAACTCTCTATTGATTTAGTTATCGCCAAATAATTCCTAAATTCTAAAAGAAAAAACATGTTTTCAGTGACAGACAAAATTCCGTTCTGTATGTGATGAATTCATATGCTAGTTGTTTGTGAGATATGAAACATTGAAGTGCCTGAACAAAAGAACTCATACAGCAAAGCCCATAAGATTGAAAAGTTACAAAGTTATGAAGTACCACTTGTACGTAGCCAAATTACATTTCAACAAAAAATATCCCACAGCATAAGGGACAATAAAATAGTCTCTGATTTTTATCAGGACCTTTAGTGAATGTAAGGAACTCTTTGATTCCAAGATTCACCACATGGTTATAATACTATAAAGCATGCACTTTGGCAATGAATGAGTAAAAAAAAATCAATAATTTCTGGCTACAACAGATCAGGCAATTACCTGTCCTATACATAACAGATTATGATTTCGAAATGAATGTTGAGCAGCAATGCTTTAAGAACTCATTTACTTTTGCAGAATATATATGAGGAAAGCTCCTGAAATGGTCCACATGTGGTGATGAACCAAAATCATAGGCATGTACACTTCTTCCCAAAGCTCTCTGCTCCTTAATGTAACATTCTACTACGCTTGCTGGGATTACCTTATCAGCTGTACTGTACAGATAGAGTTGTGGGCAGGGCGGCTGGTCCTTTAGAGTAGAGATGATACTGCTCAGTCTCCTGCTAGGAAACAGTACTATAAGTTGTAGTCCTAACTGAAGGAAGACTCGTTTTTTCCATTAATAACAGAGTCGCACATGTTGAAATGAAGTATTATAACACTTACTGATTAGCATATGGTAGCATAAAAGCTAAGGAGAAGAAAATTTCTAAGACTTTCAAAACAGTAATTTCAATGAATGCAGGTATTATGTCCTGTGCGTTCATTCTATTGCTTCGTGCATCAAGCTTTTGACCCTCAACAGGTTCAACTAAAGAAGGGCTGCGCTTCTTCAATAAAGCAGCACAATAACCTGCCGCCCAGACCTGTAATAAAAGAGGTATTTGGCACTTATTATACACAGCAAAAGGAAAATGAATAGTAACTTCTATTCCAGAAATGCCAAATAATGCATTACAATCTTCACCAGAAAATTCTGCATTCAGATGCCAAATATTTTAACATCCAACTAGATATAACAGCGAATGATCCTAAAACTTCAAAAGGCCAATGTTCTATACTTCTATGTTCTTCAGAGATCCATGTCTATGTCCTTTTCTCATTCACTTGAACCATTCCTCAGATACCATAGCTTCATTTGATGTCTAGAATTTGAATGGTTATTATTTAGAGTACTGTATTAAACAGCTAAAATTGGCTGCTCAATCCCAGGTATGGATCTTCCTTTTTACCAACACTCCACCTCTCTCTGTAGCAAGTAGCTCTTTGCCTATACAATAAATTTTTGACAAACTCCCTTCCACAAAAAGGAGGAAAGAAGTAACTAAAGCTCACATAATAGTCCAGGTTGTTGCTAACAAAGAAATTCCAGTGTCTGAGTTCAATGCGAAGTTTAGAGTTATGTGTCAGTCAAAACGAAAATCAAAACAAAATAATGAATAATAACAAAGCCTACAAACAAAATTTCCATTTTTATAAGGTCATAATATCTTAAGTCCAACATAACAGATTCAGATACATACAATATCCAGTCTCCATTTAATAATTAAGTAATTTGCAGACTAGGTAACAGAGAGTAAAACATACCTGAGGGCTCATCTCTGCACAAGGTGCAGAGTCAATAACACATCCTCTAATCTTTTCAATTATACCATTCCTTGATTGGAGGTTCTGGAGGAGGACGCCATAACTACAAGAACAGTAATGTATCTCTTACTTACTTAATATCATAATGAAACCTAACATCCACAAAATTTCAATTTTTTTCACCAACAATTTTTCATCATATTAATGTTACGTCCAATAATATAATGATTATTTGCATAAAAAATGAAAATGAGGGGAGCAATGCACCTAAAAATCTTAGGGCATTTTTTGTCAATCACCAATATCAGAGGGATTTTCTATAATTTAGTCTACTGTTAATGAGCCAATACATCCATACAAAACTATCCATTCATACGAATCCAAATCTCAACTTTTTGTTCAAACATCTACATTGCCACCAAGAAATTTCCATCAAAATTATGATTTCAAAACCTCCAAATTTGAGCACTCGAGAAGGAACAAGAAAGTTTATTAACAATGACCCGACACATTCATATATAAACTACCCATTCGTATGAACCCAAATCTCAACTTTTTGTCCAATATCTAGATTGCCATGCACAAAATTTCATTCTTTAACAAGCATTTTAAACAACTTAGATAAAAAATCACCATTTCCAAAACTCCGAATTTGAGAACCCAGGAAGGAAAAAACTTACGCTAGCCACCCAGTGTTACTAAAGGTATGAAACACCAAATTCCTCTCCTTTCCATCCCTCCCCCCCTCCTCGCCCCACCTCGCCACCCCTCGCGCTCGCTAATCCGCCTCGATCCTCTCACTTCACATTCTCCCCAAGTTTTCGAACCCCACCGTCTCCTTCACGGCACAACGAAGGCTCTCACCCGGACCTGAACCTTGCGCCGTACATCTTCCGCGTACCTCTTCAGGTGGCTTACTCCCTAGCCCCAGCCACCCCAGCAGTACCACCGTCCAGTTCGCCGTTCTCGTTTCCGGCCGACGACGAAACCTTAGATCCGCCCCTTCTGCGGCGGTTTTACAGGTCGAGCGGACGGGGGGTGGATCGTTGGCGGAGTCGAGATCGTGATGGTTGTTTTTGGTTGAGGAGCCCGGATCGGAGGCGGCCGAGGAGGAGGGAGCTGCGAAGGGTTGCCAGGGTTTAGCGGGGCACGGGAGGAGGAGAGAAGGAGGTGGCCCGCAGGCGGCGTGGTGGCCGGGCGTGACGTGGCTGGGTGAGGGGAGATTGATTTGAGGCGGA